CCTTAACATGGCAATACTACAATCATTTTCTATCATTTGAACTGAATAATAAATGACAAGTCTATCAAGCAGTGCCTTGCAAAGGATAAGCAACTTCATTTTAAAGAATTTGAGGTAAATCCCTGATCTTGCCCTCAACACCATGTCCCTCAGGCCTATCAGCCCTCAGGGAAAGGCCAACACATTAACCTCCCCCCCCCCATTTACATTCTGACACGACAGAGCTAATAGACGTATTTAGTGTGGCACGGAATCGAGCCTCTGTGCCTGTCAACACTCGAGCTAAAAGCCAACAACCCTATACCTTGTATTTTCTAGAGATACGAGCTTAGAGACATTCCTGGTGGTCTATCCTCACATAAAGAACTAACCGAAGTTCAGAATACAGGTAGTGAAAGTTTGCATACCTTTGATTTAGTCTTAGGTAATGCTGATTAGTCAGATATAATGACCTTTAAAACATTATTCACAAAGGAATAAATCAACTTCTTTATACATTTGCATTCTTCATCCTCATCCAATCATTTTCAATTTTTCCTTACATGACTGTATTTACTGTAAAACATGCAAAAGACCTCATACTGAGCTTCGTTGCACAATCACACCATCACACACACACACCATACTTGCCTGACACCATACACGGGCACTCGACACGCTCGCAAATCAATTCAAAGAAAAATCTGACATTTAATCGATAAAAGGGAAAATCTCTTGTCACACAATACAGAAAGAGGTCGAAAGGCAATCGTAAATAAAGAAAAATAACATGAAAACCACAACACAGAACGAAGACCTAGTACATAGGCCTATATTATCCGCAGTGCCAACCCCCCATAGGACAAGCAGCTCACGTGGCACTCCTCTCCCCCTTCCCTGGCACTCTCACAATCCTGCAAATCCCGACACCAAAGGGAAGGAATAGCAGCGTCCATTTCCACCGTCTCACCTCGCATTTGGCTTCGTCGTTGCCTTTGGTGCAATAATTGACAGGTGCCAGACCGGGTAGGTAGAAGGCCTGGCTCCCAACCACGGCGGTTAATAACACCAGTTTCCACATCTTCCGGCGAGTTTCCACCTCCTTTGGGCCGTGCGAGAGGGATAGCGAGGCGAAGGCAGTCGTTGGGCGGAGGGAACGCGCCGACTGTCAAAAGGAAACGGAGAAAATCGGGGCAAAATAAACGAAATTCCGAGCAGCGACTCTCGACTGTGTTATCGCTGACACGTCTACTGTGGCATCATGGGAGACACTGTTGCCAAACCCTAACGGTAACCTGTCTCTGTTTACCTATTTATCTAACTTTTAAGTCTCTCGTTGTCCACCTAATTTTGACTTGATTTATGTTTCATGTTGTGTCGATGTACATTTTTTATAGCACTGCAATGCATGCAATTGAGGTTGTTTTATTGAATGGGATTTGGGCGGGATAATACGATGATATTTCGAAATTGGTAACATCTTTCAGGAAAACAGCTGCGCAACGTCAACGACCTGTCTCAAGCGTTTGGCTTCGACTTCGACTTTGAATTGGGAACTAAACCATAAATATTTACAAATTATGCCTTGCAATGCCAAAATCATCATATTACATACTCTCATATTAGTATCTGTACCATCTCGAGTTAGACTCATAACCAAATAATTGTCATAGGTTATTTACCAATATACATTAGGTGATTCGATGAAGTGTTCACACGTCAACAATCCGGTCTTCGCAAAATAAAATTAAACTGAAATAATTCACTAACTTCATTAATAAAAACTGTTGACACGTTACTGACTTTATAAACTCTTATACTTCTTAATAGTACATTACATCTCTATATAGTTTACGATGAAAATGTCAGACGCAGGAAAACCAGCGGAAAAAATAACAATCAAATCATAATAATCAGAACGGTCTTCAAGCTCATTCAGAATACTTATATAAAACAATTACAATGAGGATAACAATGATGATACGAACGATGATGATGATAAATGGAGATCAAAGCCCAATCACAATTGTCGAAGGTTTTTAAAGATTTCCAACAGAAAATTCTGAAAATTGAAGGTTATTAATTATGCGTATTGGCATAGCTGTTCTGTTCAGAAGCTTTGGCAAAAATAGCATCTGATGATAATGATAATAATGATAATAGTAATTACTGTAATAGTAATGACAATCATGATAAAATAATGATAATAATGATAGTAATAATGATAATTATCATTATAGTAATAGTATTGATGACAATTACAAAAATGATAAAAACACTAATAATAATAAGAGTAATGATGATGATAATGATTATTATAATAATAGTAATAACAATGATAATAGTGATAATAATAATCATTATTATCATCATTGTCGTTATCATTATTATTAGGTGATGATGATAACAATGATCATAATACTTTTGATAAAAACAGTAATAATGATAATGATAACATTAACAGTAATGATAAGAATAATAGTAATGATAATGATAGTAATGACAATAACATTAATGATAG